ATGCCACGAGTACCCTTGAGTCACAGGGCATAAGTGAATTTCAAGGAAGGCTCAACTCATATCATTGTGGTAAAATTCTACTACCAGTCCTTCATCACCTTACACGAAATAGGGTGAATACATCTCATTACACTGATTTACCTACTACCAGTCCTTCATCACCTTACACGAAATAGGGTGAATACATCTCATTACACTGATTTACTGGTAGTACTACCAGTCCTTCATCACCTTACACGAAATAGGGTGAATACATCTCATTACACCGACTACCAGTCCTTCATCACCTTACACGAAATAGGGTGAATACATCTCATTACACTGATTTACTGGTAGTCACTTCCAGTCCTTCATCACCTTACACGAAATAGGGTGAATACATCTCATTACACTGATTTACTGGTAGTCTCGATTCCTTCATCACCTTAGACGAAATAGGGTGAATACATCTCATTACACTGATTTACTGGTAGTCTCGAAACCCTTACTATCATACGAATTATTTTTAAGACTTCTTCTGGCTAAGGAGTACATTTATCGTGATTCTGACTTGCCATGTGGGACTCTGCCAAGTTTAGGCGGATGAAGTGCTGGTAGTTGGATTTTCCCCAAGCTTATGAGTAGGCGTTATGTTTCATTTGAATTTCACTGAGACTTGCTCTCCAGATGGTATTCTCATCCAGGTTGGACAGCAGTTGGAGCTTCGCCTGGGTCTCATCAATACCCCACGTTTGACTCGAACACGAGTGTCGCAGCGTATAGTCTCGACAATTTAACAACTACGCCACACTGACACGAGGGCCCTTGGATCACAGGAGGAAGGGAATTTGAAAGCCTTTTCATACATCACTTTCTGTAGTGGGATTGTCGATGAAGCAGAGGTGTATTTGCTAGTAAAATTTACCACATTACTTATCTTCGTTTCAAGTAGGGTGTTGAGGCAATCATTAAATTTTGAATAAGAATTATGATCACCTTAGTTATAAACGAAACTTAGTAATGTAGACTATTTTAATAGCAAATACACCATTGTTTCATTGAAAATTCCACCACAGGTGCTAGAAGAACAGCTCTGGTCTTCCTTGAAATTCACATCTGCCCTGTGATCAAAGGGGGCTTGTGTCAGTGGGGTGTAGTGATCAACGTGTCGAAACTATACGCTGTATTACCACAATTTCGGTTCGAGTACCTCTTTGGGTACTGCTGAGACCTAAGCGAGGTCGAAACTGTAGTCCACTAATGGCTGGATGAAAATACCTTTTGGGAAGCTAGGCTATGTTAGCTCTAGTGAAAACCTAAGGCTAACTCATATCATAGTGGAGAAGTCCAGTTGCTAGTCCTTCATCTCCTTAACTAAGATAGGGTAAGGATAGTTGTGATTCTAGACTTATTTGTACTATCGAAGCCCTACTTAAAAACGAAAACGAGTTAGTTGATTCTACATCTAGACAGGTTTAAGACTCTGTCTACCAACTAATTTGCATTTATGTTATTGTTGAGTGGATGTGTACGGAATGAACTGCACTGATTGAATCTCGCGATACTCCAGATTCCATTGATCCTCAAGAGGCATGATGAAATTGGGACGTCCTCGAGTAATTCGGATTTCGGTTCTGGCGGGGGTGAACCAGGATGTCCCAACTTTATATGCGAAATTCGAAAAGTTTTCTATTCATATGGTGAGAATATTTTGAGATTATTAGTAGTTATTCAATGAGAAATATTCGCATATCGTTGCCTTCCAAAAGAATGTATTCTCAAAGTTTGACTGCAGTTTTGATCATACAAAATGACAGTTTAATTTCCAACACGCCATTGGTTGCGTCCAGGCAATTCGTGGGACCTCAGACAAGCTTTTGCTCCATTCATACTCGAAGTAAAGGCAACTACTCTATTCACATCTTCATTTAAGACGAGCTATTTTTTCTTGCGCAAAAAGGCCTGACAAAGCTCATTTACTTCTGTTGGACGTGGTTGCAGTCTGTTTAGGTCAAAACGGTTATTCGTAATCCACTTGGTCCTAATTTTCCCCGTGCTGGAGCCTTCCAAATAGTTTCAGGCTCTAGGTCCAGCCAATAAGCGTTCTGACTGGTCTAGGCATCACACATGCCAGATCCACTCGGGAGATGGGCTGGACAGAGACAAAAGAAAAGTAAGATTCGAAAAAATAGACGTTTTTACTCTCCCTCTCATTCAGTCTGAATATGCCTAAATGCATAAAATAATTCATTTCTATTCGTCGCTAAAGTTGAAATTCGCACATTCAATGCGTCTACCCTAAAAATATTAGGATAAGGGAGAAAGTATAAAATCACTTAAAGCAAGGTTTTGTTGAAAGTAAAATCTTCATGATAGTTTGGATATGACCGAAAGTGCTGGCCCTTGCACAGACTCGAAAGAAGTCATATCCTCAAGGGTGAATGGTCTACTTTAGAGTGTAATGCTAAATTTGACATTTCAGTTTGCATCAATGATAAACCATGAAAACTGCAGAGGGCCCTTCGAAGAAGGCTTGGCGGAATATGGGTACTCCTGTCTGCAAGAAGCTTTGCTGGATGAGGCAAACTGAAGGGATAACTGGAAAATTGTACAAATAGCCTAGACAACCATAGGCGCGTGGAGCACGATCTCGCGTCATGATGGATGGCGGAACGTAAAGAGGCGGCCAGACAAGAGGATGGATGGATAAATAAAAATTTTGCTGTAAAAAGAATTGTTGCATGTAAAATTCGGTGGATGGAAAAAAAACAAAGATGCTAATTTACGCCCTTCTGGAGGTAAACGATGGCCGAAACGAAGCTCCCGGCATGCAGTAGTTTGGGTGAAGCAGAGGCAATAAATTGGGTCTACGAGAAGAAGGGAACATTGGCCTTAAAAACTGACAAAATGCTTGAATGCTTCATTGAAACAGGGTTTTTGCTTAAATAAACTTTGGTACAACTTGAATCAGTCTCCGTGTCGATCTGCACTAGGGGCATTTCGTGTACTGGCCGTCGTCTCCAGGCAGCACGACCACATTGAAGGCTTTCTAGACGAGGCTCTTCTTGTTTGCGCGATTGCGTGATTTCTTCTTGTGCCAGGACTCGGCAATAATCACGCCGGAGCGAAACACCTGCAGCATAATGACGAGAGTGTTTTTACAGGTGAAAAACATGTTCGAATAGCTGAGCACATTGAAACGGATAATCATGGTGAGACGAAGCGCCAAGAAAGGCATGTCCTGTAGCATCAGAGACATGCCGATTGCCCACAGCTCCGTCTCGCAGCAGAGGCAGGGTCGCTCGCGGAAGTAGAAGTGGCAGCAACTGCTGTTGGCCCCCTCCGCCGGAGTGGACTCCCTCGCCTCTTGCTCCTCCTCCTCCTCCTCCTCCTCCTCCTCCTTCTCCTCCTGCTCCTCC